CCGGGGCCGGGGCCGGGGCCAGGGCCGGGGCCGGGGCGGGGGCCGGGGCCGGGGTGGCGCTGGTGACCGCGGGCTGAGTCTTAGCTGGCTCCTTGGGGCAGCTGTCGCTCTCCAGTGAGCCTCCTCGGGGCATCTTCTCCTCCTTGCAGAAGCCGCCGCTCAAGTCCTGGGGATCAGGGGGGCTGGCGGGGTCCTCGGAGCTCTCAGGCTCGGGCTCGGGCTCGGGCTCGGGCAGGGGTGGGGGCGGGGGCAGCAGCGGGGGCATGGGCGCCTTCGGGGACTCCGCACGGTGGTGGTGGTGGTAGTGCTCCTTCTTGGGGGGTGACGAGGCGCTGCTACTGCTGCTGCGCCCCTTGGGGCTGCTCTCCTTGCTTTTCCGCCCGGGGCTCTTGCAGGTCTTCAGTCCCTTGCCGCTCTTCTCGCCGAGGGTGGACACAAGCAGTGGCTTCACCACCTCCTTCACGTCAATGCTGACCGTCTCCCGGGTTTTGCGCTTCTTGATAGGGAGCACGGTCTCCTGCACGGAGTGGATGGAAGACTCCTTCACGGCCTTCTTCTTGGCCTCCATGGTGGTGGCGGCCACGATGCTCCCTGGCTTCCGGCCCCGCTTCTTGGGGATGGCCTGGGGGTCGGCCTCAGCTTTCCGCTTGCGGCCAGGGCGCTTGATCACCATGACCTGGGCCGACGTGGTGGCCCCACCGCCCTCGGCCTTACACCCGGGTGCCGCCTGGAAGGGCATCTTGACCAGAAGCTTCCCAGGGCTCTTCTCCAAGACCCTTTTCACCTGAACACCTTCGGACGCTGCCGCCTTGGGTCTCGCTGAGCCACTCCCCTTGGGGCGTCCCCGACCTCTGCCAGTTCCTGGAGCTTTGGGAGATTTGGGCTTCTTAGGTGGTTTCTGTTCTCTCCGGGAAGGGCTCCCTCTCCCAGTTACCGTGAAGTCAAAATCGTTAGGGTCCAGGGAGGTGTCGCCTACCTTTTCGAAGTACGCAATCAACTCCACTTTAGAGCGAAAGGCTTTTCCCTGGGGACTGTGGGGACAAATGGAGAGACACAAAGAACAGTCAGAAGCGTTCCTGGCAACATCAGAGACAGGGCAGAGTGGATGGCACCGATGAGATCTGTGAATAAGAGTCACACTGAAGCAAAGCCGAGGTGGGCTAGAACTGCAGGGGCACAGCCAGGTCAGATGCAACGTTCCGCCCCATGAGCTGGAATCACGTCGCCAGGGGCACGAGGCACCAGCCAGTCCCTGAAGCCCCAAAGGACTTGCCTGTGGCCAAAGCCAAATGTTTGGGCACTCCAGGCCTATCTACAGCCCTGCAGCTGGGGCGGGGGTCATTGCAACCGCTGGTGCCCAGGCCTGGCGCCCTCCTCATCAGGACACAATGTTGTCTGAGCTTGCCGGGAGTCTGCTCCCCTTCAGAGGTGTGGGATGAAATGAGGTTCTGGGAAACTGCTAGCTTTTCTGGGCTCACTTTGGGGGGCAGAATTGCCAGTCTAGAGCTGGACGCATGTAAGAAGGACAGTTGGACAGTTGGCAAGGCATGTGGGGCCTGTCTGGCTCTCCTCCCAGAGGCCCTTTCCCAGTGCTGATTCTCGAGGAAAGTAACCAGAGTAGGTGCCCCTGCCACTCCATCTCTAGATAAGTACCTCCTGGCAGGCAGGGCCCTCAGCAGTTTTTGTGAGCACACCTGGCCCAGGGTTCACCGCCCCCCACCCGCCCTGCCCTGCCAGAGTGTCACACGCACATTTGCCAGTCAATTCCAAGGGATCTGGGTTCAGTGTGG